CAGGCCCGGCCTGGCGCGCTCCCTCGGGCCCGCCTGTCCCCGAGACCGTCGGGACCCCGCGGGCCGGCGGTGGGGGCTCCTACCCAGAGCCCCCGGCGCACGGAGTTCCAGTGCGCTCCCAAGCCCTCGGCGGCCTGGCCGCGGGGTTTTCCTGTCCTCCTGCTGGGGGCCGTTGCTTCTGCCGTGCCCCGGGGAGACGCGATGCGGGGTAGACCGTGGGTGCTTACTCAGTGCGACCTGGATCGGGGCGCGTGGACGCCCCAGCCACAGGACGTGGCGTGGGGTGGGACTGGAACGTGGGCAGGCCGGGTTTCTGGGCTGCAACTTGGGATTTTGTTCCAAGTTCAGCCAGTGAAACCAGCTGGGTGCTTTTCCTGGTGGGGTGGGAGCCAGGCCCCCTCACTCCCCCCCCCCTCCCCGCCTTTAGTTGCGCCCCGATAGTCTGCCCTGGCGGGGCTGCGTTGCGGGCCATTCTCGGGAGGGGCTCTTCCTTCCGGAGCACACCAAGCTAACTTTTCTTTTGCACTTGATCAACTGACCTACCTGCGGTGATTTATCAAACAGTGCTTTTGCTGTTGTTGTTTTGTTTTTTTAAGGCGTGGGTTAGAATTTGTAGGTTTCCTCACTATTATCAAGGAGAAAGCTTCTGATAGACTTGGTCTATTACGGGTTGCGGGTTGCGCTAACTTTCATCCACTTGAGCTTGAATGTGTGTGTGTGTGTGTGTGTGTGTGTGTATGTATATGTGTATGCACACACACATAAACTTGGCTTTACCGTTTCTATGGCTGCGGTTTCTGATATTCTAATTTCGAAATGTTGTGGTTAAAAAGTAGTGACTCTTTTTTCCTTGCCCTGTAACCTGCCAGTCGTGAGGGGGGGGGCAGGGAGGAGTGGAGGCTTGAACTCTGGGCCTGGGTGCTGTCCCTCAGCTCTTCAGCTCAAGGCGAGCACTCTACCACTTGAGCTACAGCGCCACGTCCGGTTTTCTGGTGGTTTATTGGAGAGTCTCACGGACTTGACTTCCCAGGCTGGCTTTGAACCGCGATACTGAGATCTCAGCCTCCTGAGTTGTTAGGATTACTGGCGTGAGCCATCGTCGCCATGGCTTTAATTTTTAAAAGTTCACCTTTACTATGTTGCCGGCAGTCCATTGTTTGTCATCTGCATGGAAAATTTCCCATCTCTTACATTGGTGTCAGAACCCCCTGTGTTTTGTTTTGGAGCAATTTACACAGTTTGGATTTTTTAGTTAGGCGAAGTTTGCACATAATCTTTACAACACCCATAAATTTGATAATTCAGTATAAAATTTGTATCAGAGGCGTGTTTCATTTTATTAGTAGACTTTAATGAAGTACAAAATACACATTTTACGGGTTGAGATTGTGCCCAGTGGTAGGTGGTATTTAGCCTGAGAAGTCTGGGTTCAATCCCTACCCTTCCCCCCCAATAAAGTAGGATAAATATTTTAACTATTGCACAAATACATTTTTTAAAAAACTAGAAGTGGGACAGGAATGGAAAGAAAACTCTTGGAGTTAAATTTTAATGCACTGATGAAAATATGGTAAATTGAGTTCTCTTTCCAGACTTGTCCACGGTAGGGTAGATTGGGTACTGGAGGGGTAATGGATACTGGTGGGGTAAAGTCTGTATTCTTTCCCTGTCTGTTGCTTTGTAAATGCCTGCAATGGCTTTTCTCTTGCGATCAGGATGTTGGAGTCTTGAGAACAATAACTTGTTGTTATTGCCTGTTCATTATCTGAGCAAAGTAACTAAATCTGGGGTGCTCAAAATTTCTTTCCCTCTTTCTTAAAACAACAACAACAAAAAACAGTTTTACTGAGAAAAACTCACCTCTTTAAAATGTATGAGTTTGGTGGCCCATACCTTACTTAAACTTCAGCTCTCTGAAGATTAAGTCTGGAGGATCACAAGGTCAAGGCCTCCCTCTATGCTACATGTCAGACTTTGTCTTGAGAAAAAGAAAAAGAAAAAGTATAATACAATGGCTTTAAGTATATAACTGTAACTATCTAAGAAGTCTAATTGCCATCATCAATTCTAGAATCTTTTTAAAAAATAATATTAAAATTATTAAGTGGTTGTATATAAGGGTTACAATTCTGTAAGTCAGGTTATGAATATAATGCTTCTTGCTAAGTGTTACCTCTTCTATCATTCTCCCATATTTTCTCTCCCATATCCCTACCCTCTAGCTAATACTTCATTTTTTAACCTAATATACATTGTAGAATCCTTAAAAAACAACAAAATCTCACCCTCTGTTCTCATCAGATTTTGTCAATTCCTCTACTTCAGTCCTCAGAAACCACAAAAATGTTGTCTCAATAGATTTGCCAGTTGCAACATTTCACTATGAATGGAGTTGTACACTAATTAGGTGGTCTTTTGTGGCCTGGTTCTTTCACATAGCTTAATGTTTTTTTTTGTATGGCAGAATAATATTTCACTGTATGCAGATAACATTAGATGGGTTGGTTTCACTTTTTTGGCTATTGTAAGTAATGGTATTGTGGACATTTGTCATTTTAAAACTACTTTTGTGTGGACACAAGTCCTTTCTTTCTCCCCCTCCTCTTTTTTTTTTTTTTTAATTGGGTCTTGAACTTAGAGCCTGGGTCTTGCACTGCTCTATTTCCAGCTTTTTTTTTTTTTGGTAGTTAATTGCAGCTAAGATCACTGACTTTTCTGCCAGGGCTGCCTTAAACCATGATCCTAAAATCTCAGTTTACCGAGTAGCTAGGATTATAGGCCTGAGCCACTAGTGCCTACTTTGGACAATTTTTTTTTTTAAACTCTTAAGTATACTTAAGTTAGTAGTAGGTTTGCTGGGTGAATCACCATCTTTTGAATGAATGAATGACTAAGCTAGGAAATATTGTTAATCTTGGGGGATACACTTCTGAGGCCCTGGAGGGGCCTGTTGACCTTTCTCTACTACCAAGTCTATTTCCTTGGAGATCAGAAATTTCTGTGGGGACATGGTCTAATGGCAAGTGTGTTTTTTTCCTTGGGTGTCATTATTATCATCCTTTCCTGTTAGCAGCTGTTCTTTATTTTTTAATTAATTAATTACTTTATTTATTTTTTCTGGTTGTGGGGCTTGAACTCTGGGCCTGGGCGCTATCCCTCAGCTCTTCAGCTCAAGGTGAGCACTCTACCACTTGAGCTACAGTGCCACTTCCAGTTTTCTAGTGATTTATTGGAGGCAGGAGTCTCACGGTCTTTCCTGCCGGAGCTGGCTTTGAATTGCTATCCTCAGATCTCAGCCTCCTGAGTAGCTAGGATTACAGGCGTGAGCCACCAGTGCCCAGCTAAGCAGCTGTTCTTTATATTGCTCTTGGCTCTTCCCTGGGTACTGGAATATTATATACTTATTGGGGACATAACAAGTGCATTCCATATAATCTTTTAAGTTCAGGGTCCAATACAGATCTCTCAATATTTCAAAATTTGTTTTTCCTTTGTTAAACATTAATGTTTATTGATCCTCTTGCAACCACATTTCTGATATGAATTTCTAGGAGGCATGCCATAAATAATTTTTACCCCAATAATGGAGATCAAGTGTGGGGCCTTGTACTTGCATTGTATGTTTCTATCCTTACTAAAATAGAGGGGGCTTGTGGGCCCTAAGATATAAATGTGAACTGTTAGCTTATTTTTGTTAACCCTTCCCCCCCCCCAAAAAAAAAAAAAGACTTGCTATACCTTCTCTCTCTGACCTTTGGGAATTACTTAGTTTGAAAAGATACTGTCCTTCCCACTTTCCACTTGCTGAGCCTAATCCTTTTACCCAAGCAGTCAGAATAATCCCTATAAGAAGTCTGTCCTCCTCTTTCTCCTTCAAGGTAGTTAGCTGAGTCTTAACTCTTAGCCCTACCTTGCTGTAAGGTTTCATCAGTTCCCACTTTGTCTTGTCTCTACACTTCCCTGGATGGGCTTGTGTCCTGCCCTCCCCTCTGAGTAGGACTACTCCTCTGACCTACACTTCCCCTGTCTGGTCAGTTAGTCCCACCTCCTCTTTCAGAAAACTTCAGTTCGCTTCTTCATTTTAGTGTTCTGCTAACCCTGAACACTTGGTATAGCAGCAGTCTGTACTTTTCCTTGTCTTGGAACACTCTTGCTGTTACTTGTGTATCACTCATTCCTCCCTACACCTATGAAGTCAGAGAACGGGCTACACAAAAATAATGACAGTTCCTGTGTGTGTGTCTCAGCGATAGTCAAGCCTGGGCTGTGAGTTTAACCTAGGGCCATGGGGGTGGAGGCAGAGGAATAGCTGTGCATGGTAACTCAGATCTTTAGTCCTACCTGCATAGGAGGTCAGAGTGGTTGCAATTTGGGGCTAGGCAAGGCAAAAAAAAGTTTGTGAGAGTCCATCTCCACAAATGACTAGGTGCTGTGGTGGTGAGCATATGTCATCCTATTAATGTGGAAGCACAAATTAGGATCATAGTTAAGTTGGGTTGGGCATAAAGTGAATAACCAACACAAAAAAGAGCACCTGCTGGGCAAGTACTGATAAAACAAAAAATTGACATCAGATAGTGATTTTTGGCTC